AACACATTCTAATCTTTAGAGGTGTCAAACCTAACTTTCAGGTTGTTGGACGAGGTGCCGTGTTTTTGAACATTTAGCCAAACAAGAGTTTGGGGGCCTCTTTTAAAATGTGCCCCTGACATGGCACCAACCTCTGTCATTACAAACCATTGTGGTGGCTGCTCTGCACTTTTTCCTCTGACCTTCCTTTCCTTGAAAAAATGTACACGACACAGACACACACACAATCAAGTTTGTTCACCAAACCTTGGTTTTCGATTACATAAACCACCTCAGGCAAATTTAGAAAATCAAGACTTTAAACCGCTGGGTGTATGTACAAGCCTGGGGAAGTGGGGGTAAAGTGAGAAAGAGGGGGAGGGAGGAGGAGAGAGGAAGAAAATTTAAAAGATGATGGTTAAGGCTGAGGGGACTTGCCTGAAAGGAAATGAAAAACCTTAAATTTTTTATATTGACCTTCTGCTAACATTTTGTCACACAAGCACAGACCGGATCAAGCCTCTCTGGAGCTTCTAGTATAACCATTCACCATGAAAGAGGTTTGGGGCAGGTCCAATAAAAGGTATTAAAAATCAATTTTAAAGTCAAGGGCCCTAGGAACAAGAGGCCCACCCCTTCCTCAGTCTCAATGCTATCTACTGACAAATACGTATTCAAAAAGGAAGATTTATGTGGATTTCTGAAAGCATAATTTTCCATCAACCTTTTCCCCAGGGGCTACAGAGGAAAAAAGGATCCAAGAGTTGACACAAATTTCAACATCAAGAAACATTTTGATGATGAGTTGAGTGTTAACAAATCAGAAACACATGGTCTTAATTGACTGTGAAATAAATAACGTTTCAAAATGAAAGGGGAAAAAGTGTTCAGATGTAAAGCATCAGAAAGGACTCAGGCCTCGAAACTTGCTCCAGGCATTGAGTTCTCCCCACTCCCAGTTCCATCTTGTCCTCTCCTCTCCTCTCTTTCCTGTCAGGGGGTTCAAGAAAGTGAGACCCTGCTGGCTTCCCCTGACCTAGATTCACTTGCAAATATTTCTCTTTGGGAACCTGTGGAGCTCCTAAAATGTTTCAAAGTAAAAGCATGAACATCTTCAAGGTAGGACCCAGGCCCTGGATCTGAAGACAAAACCCTGAATCAGCGAAAGGAGAGTCAATGGGCTCTGATGCAAGTTCATCTTTCATTCTCCCAACATACCAGTGGGGTTCTTCCTGCAGATGCACATCAGAAATACCTGGAGCATTTAAGACATCTATCTGTGCCCTGGGCTCCATCCCCAGAGAGTCAAATGTAGTTAGTCCCGAGGGAAGCCCCAGGTAAGGGTGTGTCTGGATCAGCATTTCTAACAAGTGCCCGAGATTTGAATTAAATTTAATAACTCTTTGCAGGGCACTCGTGTGTCCAGCAATGGTCTAAGTGCATGTGTGTGGTATGTGTGTGTGTTAGTTGCTCAGTCTTGTCCAACTCTTTGCAACCCCATGAACTGTAGCCCTCCAGGCTCCTCTGTTCCTGGAATTCTTCAGGCAAGATACTGGAGTGGGTAGCCATTCCCTTCTCCAGGGGATCTTCCCCACCCAGGGATCGAAACCAGGTCTCCTGTATTGCAGGCATATTCTTTACCATCTGAGCCACCAGGGAAGCCCAGAATATCAGCCCTTAATCCTTGCGACACCCATGAGATTGGCAAGCACCATGATCACCATCCTCATTTTACATGTGAAGAGATGGAGGTAGAGAGAGGTTTCCAAATTTGCCCAAAGTCACACAGCTATCCAGAGGCAGAGGCAGAAGCAGAATTCAAATCACCTGGCTCTAGAGTCTACACTTAGTAACCACTCTATCAGTAACTGCAGTAGCCGCAGAAAGCTCTTAAGAAATGTCAAGTTCTCTGGTCACACCCCCAGACCTACTGAATTAGAAACTCTGGGGTTTAATCAGCTCTCTAGGGGCCTCTGATGCATGCCAACATTGGAGAGCCACTGCACCCTTCTGGTACAGATGGGAGCAGAGACAGAAGTCAGAACTGGTGACCCTCTGCCCAGCCTCCCACCTAGTGGATGGGGCTGATCACGTGTCTTCAGCGGAGGGTGAGCTCCATCTGGCAATGACCAAGAACTCCAAAGAGCTTACCGAGGGACTATTCTCCCCCAAGAAGACACAACCAGAACATAGACTACAGCACCGTGGTGCCTTCTCCAATTAAGGATAGATTCTTCCAGGATGACACTGCAGTGCTCGCCATCCACAGCAAAGCCACAGGAGACTCAGCCCTTTTACTGAGAAATACCAAAACCCCACTGTAATTTTTTCCCTCCTTCCCCACTCATGAGATTGTGAGCAGCTCAGAATCTCCATAAAGCCAAAGATCAAACCCAAAACACAGCCATCTCTTTTTCAAGCCTCTATTAACAGAAAAGCACAGAAAAATCCGAAGTGATTTTGGAGATACTTGGCACGTTTGACTCCCTAAAATTCCTGACTATGCAAAAAAAAAAATAGTCTCTTTTCCTTTAAGGAAGGGAAGAGGGTGGGTGGGTGGAGTGGGGATGGGAGAAAAGGAAGTTCTTAAATGGGTGAAACCCTCTAGCAGCCAGGCAATCATCTTACTGTCATGATTTACAGCATTCCTCTAAAAATATCTATGAGATCACAGAACATTAAGTGCATGACACCAAACATTTGTAACTAATCCATGAAAATAAAGTAAGGGCGTCAGGTTGCAGGGGGAATACAGTGGAATTTGTCTTATGTTATCGTTCTAAAATAAGACGGCCTCAATTTGGTTGAAATACATCTTCACACATTGTCTTCCAGGGCAGAGTCATTTGAGAAATTCTGATTGCAATTCTAAGTGCTGAATAGGGAGTACTTTGCATTTCCTTTGATGATGCTGAAGGCTATAAGCAATCCTGATATTAAAATCTTTGGAAATTGATGAGTACCCCAGGCGTCATTACAATACTTTTCTCCCCAATCAGAGTAATTAAAATCTATTATGTGAACACGTGTTAATATTGTATCAACTACTGTTTTTAATTAACTAAAAGTCTGAGGCCTCTCACAGTAGTAATGATATCATTTCAAGTGACACTCTCCCCCCACCCCCCACATACACTGTCTACCCCACCAGCTTCATGGCAAACTTACCACAGTACTGAATTCTGGAACTTGCCACAGCAGCCAGTCCTCATTAAGGGTGTACAGCGCTTTGCAAGTGATTACGTCAACGGGGCCCTTGTTTATTTTTTGGTTCAGAGTTGTCACCAACAAATAGAATGGCTCCCCAACAGTCTCCTTGGAAAAAGATGCAAAAGTGACAGTTTTTGCCAGAATCCACTGTACTTTCCAAAGAATTAAAGTTTCAGTTTATGGCACCACGACAAGAGACAGGAGGCAGTGTTTTCTAACAATCAACATGAAACTCTCAAGAAAATACATATTGCTCTACTTAGGACTGGGAGCAAAACTCAGGAAGCTGCCTCCTCTTCCCAGCAAACATGTATTCACACACACACACACACACACACACACAAACACACTTTCTCTCACTGTATTTACAGTTGATAACAGCATGAAGTACACAGACTGATCATTCTTTTATGCGTAAGCTTCTCTATGTCAGCCTAACTCTCACCAGTTGGCCTAAGAACAGTTCCTAGAGGTTTAACCTTTGTTTACATTCCTCTTTAACTGCCTCTTTTAAGCACAGTGAAAACAAATGGCAGCATGATTAGCCTTGGTAACTAGAATAAACATAAGAACATTTTATAAATTCATCTAGGAGGAAATTTTGGTGTTGACAGCTTCTCGTAAAGGAAGTGGCCTTCAGTTACACAATCTGTAGCCTCTTCTGCCCACAAGCAAGCCAGCCCCCAGGGGTTCCCGGACCCAGTTTTCGTGGTCCCACCTGGGCACCTTTGCTAGGACAGGCCACACAGGTACCCCACCTCCTTCCCCAGGCCAGATCCGATTCCATTACTCTAAGGATCTTCCCAAGCATTCTGATAACTTCCTCCTGCACATTTTTTTTTTTCCTGGATCAACAGCATCTACCCTTGCGGTTATAGAAATGCTTCAGATCTGCAGCCACTTTGTGCTGGAGTGGACTCAGAGCAGCCCAAAAGAGGGAGGCTCGTGTGCTGTGCTTTCATGCAGCCTACCAAGGCATGTAGCCCTGGGCTGACTATTGCGTAGAAAATAAACGAAGTAAAGAAGCCATCCGTGGTCAAAAGGATATTAATCTCTTTTTCAAGCCTCTATTAACAGAAAAGCACAGAAAAATCCGAAGTGATTTTGGAGATACTTGGCACGTTTGACTCCCTAAAATTCCTGACTATGCAAAAAAAAAATAGTCTCTTTTCCTTTAAGGAAGGGAAGAGGGTGGGTGGGTGGAGTGGGGATGGGAGAAAAGGAAGTTCTTAAATGGGTGAAACCCTCTAGCAGCCAGGCAATCATCTTACTGTCATGATTTACAGCATTCCTCTAAAAATATCTATGAGATCACAGAACATTAAGTGCATGACACCAAACATTTGTAACTAATCCATGAAAATAAAGTAAGGGCGTCAGGTTGCAGGGGGAATACAGTGGAATTTGTCTTATGTTATCGTTCTAAAATAAGACGGCCTCAATTTGGTTGAAATACATCTTCACACATTGTCTTCCAGGGCAGAGTCATTTGAGAAATTCTGATTGCAATTCTAAGTGCTGAATAGGGAGTACTTTGCATTTCCTTTGATGATGCTGAAGGCTATAAGCAATCCTGATATTAAAATCTTTGGAAATTGATGAGTACCCCAGGCGTCATTACAATACTTTTCTCCCCAATCAGAGTAATTAAAATCTATTATGTGAACACGTGTTAATATTGTATCAACTACTGTTTTTAATTAACTAAAAGTCTGAGGCCTCTCACAGTAGTAATGATATCATTTCAAGTGACACTCTCCCCCCACCCCCCACATACACTGTCTACCCCACCAGCTTCATGGCAAACTTACCACAGTACTGAATTCTGGAACTTGCCACAGCAGCCAGTCCTCATTAAGGGTGTACAGCGCTTTGCAAGTGATTACGTCAACGGGGCCCTTGTTTATTTTTTGGTTCAGAGTTGTCACCAACAAATAGAATGGCTCCCCAACAGTCTCCTTGGAAAAAGATGCAAAAGTGACAGTTTTTGCCAGAATCCACTGTACTTTCCAAAGAATTAAAGTTTCAGTTTATGGCACCACGACAAGAGACAGGAGGCAGTGTTTTCTAACAATCAACATGAAACTCTCAAGAAAATACATATTGCTCTACTTAGGACTGGGAGCAAAACTCAGGAAGCTGCCTCCTCTTCCCAGCAAACATGTATTCACACACACACACACACACACACACACAAACACACTTTCTCTCACTGTATTTACAGTTGATAACAGCATGAAGTACACAGACTGATCATTCTTTTATGCGTAAGCTTCTCTATGTCAGCCTAACTCTCACCAGTTGGCCTAAGAACAGTTCCTAGAGGTTTAACCTTTGTTTACATTCCTCTTTAACTGCCTCTTTTAAGCACAGTGAAAACAAATGGCAGCATGATTAGCCTTGGTAACTAGAATAAACATAAGAACATTTTATAAATTCATCTAGGAGGAAATTTTGGTGTTGACAGCTTCTCGTAAAGGAAGTGGCCTTCAGTTACACAATCTGTAGCCTCTTCTGCCCACAAGCAAGCCAGACCCCAGGGGTTCCCGGACCCAGTTTTCGTGGTCCCACCTGGGCACCTTTGCTAGGACAGGCCACACAGGTACCCCACCTCCTTCCCCAGGCCAGATCCGATTCCATTACTCTAAGGATCTTCCCAAGCATTCTGATAACTTCCTCCTGCACATTTTTTTTTTTCCTGGATCAACAGCATCTACCCTTGCGGTTATAGAAATGCTTCAGATCTGCAGCCACTTTGTGCTGGAGTGGACTCAGAGCAGCCCAAAAGAGGGAGGCTCGTGTGCTGTGCTTTCATGCAGCCTACCAAGGCATGTAGCCCTGGGCTGACTATTGCGTAGAAAATAAACGAAGTAAAGAAGCCATCCGTGGTCAAAAGGATATTATTAAACTGAATTTGAGGGAGAGGAAAGAATCAGGGCCAAAGCCAGGAAGTCAGACTGCCTCAGTGATGATGAACAGCCAACCACGTGACTAGGGCTTGAAGCCCTAGTTTACAAAGTTAAGCTTCACAGCCAATGCACCTGGCCAGGAAAGGAAGATTTCACTGAATCTCTCACCTGCTTTCCCTTGAACAGGTAAACCAAGACGTCTCTGAAGTCTCTTGGGATCCCACCCCACCAGCCCTCATACCATCCTCTACGCTGACGGCAGGGGCACATCCCTCCTCCGTTCCTGGCTTCCTGTCTCTCCTGTGCCACCCTACCCGCCCCGGGGCCCCGCACCACTTCCCTCTCCCCTGCTGACATAGCCTCTGGTCGCTTCCTTACTGTAGGACAGGGCTGGAATGTTCAAAAATTTCCCAGGTGGGGAGAGCGCTGGGACCAGAACTCAACATTTCAATTCTCATGAGAAACTTCCTTTATTTAGAGGTTCACAACTACACGGCTCTCTTCTCTCTCCCTCCACCCCCTTAGGTAATGTCCTGACCGCAAACCTAGAACCTCACTTCTCTCTTTGCCTCTAGCCCACATCAGAGCTGGGGATAAGCGCCCTTGGGAGGGGGCTGGAGGCTTCTGCAGAGGTCAGTGTTAGGGGGCCAGTGGGCTCCTCTGGGCTGTGTGGCATGACAGCTGCAGACTCAGTGGCCCTTCAGTCAGAATTCTCCGGAAGTCTGCATGCAGCTAGACTCAGATAAATAACATCTCATCTGGTGTTGTTACCCACACCCGTGGCTCGAAACCTGGAGAATCATCACCAGAATCCCTTGGGGTTCTTATAAAAAAAACTCAGATGTCTGGATTCTACTTTAGATGTGGATCTCTAAAGAAGAGGTCTGAGCATTGGTAGTTTTAACACCTTCCCAGCAGATTCTGATGCGTGGCCGGCTTAGGAAAACACGAGGCCATGAGGTTTCTTTGTCACCACCGAACACAAGTTCTAAGTTGTGTTAGAACCTACGCAGACCAGGATGCACACAGATCCTGGAGAGCCGGCCTTCAGAGCCTCCTTTATGGAACTGAGCCCACCCTTCCCATCCTGTGATGGGAATTAAGGTTGGCCCTTCCACCATCCTTTCCTTCATGAGACCAGCCTCTCTGACCATAGCTGAGCTTGAGGCTTTTGCACCTGTGATCTCACTCACTACCCCATCCTGCATCCTTTCCTAAGCCTGGAAGAAGGCAGCCTCCCCCCTGCGGAAGCAGGCTGACTAACAGCTCTCTGGTGCTATCACAGAGCTGTGGGATCTGTGCGCAGAGAAGTCTCGTCTATTCTGCACACCCCAACTCTCCGGAATGCAAAATGGCCATAAAGGTCCTCACCTCATGGCGTTCAATGAGAAAAAGGAAGCAAGGCTCTTAGCATAGTGGCTGGCCCGTTCAAGAAATGGCAGTTATTATTATTACTTGACCCACAGGGCCTTGGAGGCACAGAGGAGGAAGTTACCTGGAGGTCACAGAATTCATGGCACCCAAGCAAATGTTTGGGGTGGGATGGGGAGGTAGGGAGGGCAGGAGGACTAGGCCATCAGAGCCCTATGCCTCTTGGGCATGTGGAGGGGGAAATCAGGCCCTCCACGCTACAGGGAATTGTTCCCCTGAAAATGAAAGCATCGCCCAACTGGCTGAATGCCACTTCCTCCCCAGGGAGCACGTTGCCCCCTCCCTACCCCAAATGCTCAAGACACTCGTGAATCAGCACTGCAAAATCCTGATGCAGAATCCTCTGCTCAGAGGGGCCATCTGGGCTCACAGCCCAGACACTGGGGACTCCTGACCTTTTTAATACCCAAGAGCAGTAAGGGCAAGACTCTCACTAGGCCTCCAGGGCTCAGAATAAGAATCACAAGGTCCCGGAAGAAAGAACTGGAAAGGAGTTCAAAACAAATGACCAGGCCTCTCATTCAGGGGGAAGATGCCCAGATGGAAAGGGTCATACCCGCAGAGCCACAAAGCGAGTTGGGGCTGAGATGAACGCCTAACCAAGACTCCTAGGCCAGTGCTCCTTCTGCTTTCCTCTCCCAGGTTCTCAAAGGCAGGGCGATGGAATCACATGCAGGAGCTTGGCAACCTGGGCTACCAGACCTCGCCGTGAGTCTCTGATTCAGTGGCACTAGCGAGTGGTGGGCCAGGAGACGCCTTTTGAGACTCAGACCCAGGAACGAGGTGAGGGTCCTGCTACCTCTTTCGAAGCAGCTGTGGCTGAAGCTAGGGAGCCAAAAATATTCACCCCAGAAATAACTGTTCCACATCTCCCCAAAGCATATGATGATTTATACCAAGTAAACAGAAAAGAAGGCAGATTTCATTAATCTTAATAAATGGGTATTGCCTTGGGAGAGAGAAGAGTTGGTAAAGAAAAAAAAAATGTTGTGCCTCTACTTGTAAGATTGCATTAAACTCTAAGCATAGTCTATTTAAGGCACTGCTTTTTGGATCTAAACTTAAGTAGCACTGTTAAAACCTGTGGCATAGCAGTGTATCTTATTCAAACTTTAATTAGATTTCGGAACCAGCTACAAATACACAATTATGCAGTTTTGCTGGAATCTGGATGGCTGGTGAAATTAAAGAAGGATAAGAGGCCCCTGCACCAGGGGCCTCAGAGGGTTGAATGGAGACTGAGTTCAACAGAACACTCTTCTTTTCCTATTAATATTTCATAATAATAATGGGCACAATTGATGGAGTGCTTACTCAGTGCCAAGCAATTGCAAACATTTTTTCATCTATGCTTCAGAACAGCCCTAAAACATTCTTCCATTCTACAGGTTATAAACTCAAGGCTCAGGCTGGTCAAAAAAGCTGCTTGGGGTCTATAGTAAGTGGTAGAGTCTAGATTCAGACCAGGCAGCAGGCTCTGGGCACCCCCTCTTACCCAGGGCATCTGTGAAAAGTTCACATAAGAAAAGATTCCAAGATTCGATTACATTATAACCATATTCACATAGTAACTCTCATAAAGTGAACTCAAGGGGCGGGGGGCTCTTTGGAGACTTGCTTTCACATGAGATGACCACTTGGATTTGAATGTCATTAGCTCACAGCGAGTGTAGTGGTAGATAAACAGCAATTTCCCAGATGCTTCAGAGGCTCTGGAAAGTGTGTGTTTTCATCAGTATCTGAAACACAGGGATTTCCCTGGCAGTCCAGTAGTTAAGACTGCATTTCCAGTACAGGAGATATGGGTTCGATCCCTGGTTGGGGAATTAAGATCCCATACGCCACACAGCACAGGCATAAGAAAAAAAAAAAAGAAAGAAAGGAATGTTCTCTCCAGTCAGCATGTGTTAATTAACCATGTGAAGATGGATGCAAAAGGCAATGGGTATAAAGGCTCAGTTATGTAAGTTCTAGAATTCTATTGTACCACATTGTGCTGACAGATAACACTTTTGTACACTTAAAAATCTGTGAGAAGGGTAGGTCTCACATTGATTTTCTTATAATACAATTTTTAAGAAGAGAGAAGTCTTACCCGAGGAAATTCTAAATGAATTACACTTGCACAGGCCAGTCAGAGCAAAAGCAAATTTTCTCTTCCCCTTCATGTGCCCCTGGTAAAGACCAAGACTAAAAGCAGTTAAATACTGACACCATGGAGAACGCAGGACTTATCCTGGCAACTGCTGAAAATAACTGCTTATCGTCTTACTTCTGACACTGCCAAGGGATGCGACACTTACCCGCAGGAAACCAGAGAGGCAGACAGACATCCAGTTTGTGAGGAGTTTCTCCACCACGGACTCTGTGCGTCTCAGCATGAGTTTAGGCTGCATATTACTGCACTGCTCCATCAAGTCCCTGGTTAGCACCTCCAGGATGCTGGTTAGGTAGACCAGCTTGGTTTGCAGGGCAATGGTTAAGAAGGAAGCAAACAGACACCTGTGTAAAACAGAGCCTTGGTTACAACAGCCAAGACATGGAAGTGTCCATCAACAGATGAATGCATACAGAAGATGTGGTGCCTGTATACCACGGAATAATATTCAGCCACAAAAAGAAGGAAATCCTGCCATTTGCAATAACAAGGATGGATCTTGAGAGTGTCACGTGAAATGAAATAGAGAAAGAAAAATCCTGTATGATCTCACTTAAATATGGCATATGAAAGAAAAAAGACTCAAACTCAGAGAGATCAGATTGTGGTGATCATGCTATACACCTAAAACCTCTACAGAGCTGTATGTCGATTATATCTCAATAAAAAGAAAAAAAAAGATACACAGATGATGGAAAAAAAGCACATTAAAAAAAAAACCAGAAAAAACCAGAGCCTTGGTTAATTACGGTTAACCATCATCTGCGGGCTTGCTTGGTGTTGATAGCCGTCTCCAAGGAAACATGAGGGGCCCAGCAATGGGGTGCTAATGGGGTGCTTCCCCGTGGGTGCTTTTTTTAACATCTAGGTTTCAACTACTTTAGCCTTCGATCCATAAAAACCACATATCAATGTTAACTTCAGGTTATTTTATATGTTTTTCAGCTCTAAAACTTCAAACTAGAGCGGTAAAAAGAAGTGAATGTCTTCCCTGAATTTTCAGAGGGTTTTAAAAATAGAAAACAGCACTTCTGCTTTTGTAACTCAGGATTCATGTTTCTTTCTTGGTGTTGGGGTTTTTTAGGGTGCTTTTTTTGGGGGGGGGTCACATGTGTGTGTTTCTTCAAAATAGAACTTGTGTTAGGGCACTGTGATCTGAAATGGAGACACTAGGACTGCATGGCCACCCAAACAGTCAACCTTTTGAGAGATGCGGGTTCTCAGACACCAAGTGCAGGCTGTAGTTTGGAAAGAAAATAAGAGGCTCAGGTTTTGTTCTCTCTACTTAATCACTTTCAAAATATAAACAAATAGATGGATACCTGTCCTTCACTGAAAAGTTCTTCTGCTTTTCAAGAGTATGGATAACAGTAACAAGGAAACTTTTATTACAAATTAGGGCATCCAAAGCTGTGAGACTTTCATTCTTGTCGCTGGCATCTCTGTTCTGAAAAAATATATAATATAATATAAATATATAAGCTAAAAGTTAGAAAATAGATACACAATGGGCTTTCAAAACGAATTATTTAATATCAAATTTGTGATCCCCAAACGCCCACAATAACAATTCTAAATAACAATGGAGATGATGAGGATGGTGATGATGACACTATGAAAGTCAGGCAGTCATGGACTAAAAATGAAAACTTAGAGACTTACATGCATATCTTCAGTGAAGATGTGGGTAAAGCCACCTGACTGAGAGGAAGGAGACACTTTTATTATTCATAACATCCAAAGGAAATGAAGAGTGTTTTTTTGTTATAAAACCTGGGTTCATTTTAATAGAGACACTATTTGCTAATCTGAAGAGCCCCTGGGCTTATGCTCACTTCATATTCTCTACATAATAAATAATTATCCAGCTCTCAAGAAACACCAGTGACTTCTGAAAGCCTCCAAGAATAATTATCATTGCATCAATCCCATTTTTTGACAGATGAAGGCATTTAAAAGAATTGATTCAAAAGTTAAAGAAGCGGTGGTGAAAAGAAGATTATGCAAATGTACAGACCACTTCTCAAGCCATTTACCTTCTAAGGATAAATACTGAGTTGTATTGGTAAGTTTATACAAGTCTTCTCTTAGAAGTATTTACTGTCTCAATACACAATGTTATTCAAGACTGAACGGAGAGGGGTGGCTCAAAGCTAGAATCTGGAGTCAAGCGACTTGGGTTCCAGTTCTAGTTTTATCACCTGCTGGTCACATGATTTCGGACAAGTCATTCAACCTCTCTGAACCTGACTTTCCTCATCTGCAAAATGGAAACAATAATGACTCCCACTTCATGGGTTAGGTGTGAAAATAAAACAAACGAGTGCGTAGTAAGGTTTTCACATCAGCTATCATTATTGGTTTTTTTTTTTAATCACTAATTTAACAGCAAACTAAACCACAATGTCATTGCCCTGTGGGTTTCTAAAAAATATTTTAAAGTGTTATGCTCTGTGTAGCCCCTGAATATAAACTTTGAAATTTGAGTTTCTGTTAATGTATCATAAATCATATTGGAATTAAATGATTAAATTTTAAAAAGCATGATGTGTAACAGTGAGTAAATAGGATAAATAGGATGAAAATATAAATCTAAATATTCTGTTATTTTTAAATGTTTTGGTAATCATTGAAATCATAAGTTATATTAAAGTGAATTTCTTCTGTAGAGAATTTTTGCCTTATATTTTCAAATGTGTTAGCCCAAGCAGACGATCTCAGACTATTTTGGTTATACTCTCTGCTAGTAATAAGCAGAAAAATCAGACCCCAGGTTTGCATTTTCTAGTTCCTAATATTTTTCTGCTGAACCAACCTTATGTCGATAGGCAATTTAAACAGATTAATTCTTGACCTCAAATAGGGAAATACTGCTCTGGCTCCCTGGGTTCAAAGGCTCCTTCCTCCTTTCATTCAAATTCCTCTCCTCCAAGTGGTTAGATACTCTGCTTACCCTTATGTCTTCTATTTTCAGTAAAACAAAGTTGCCGATAAAATTTAAAGCAAGGCTTCTATATCCAAAAAAACCCAACTAGCACAGCAAAAAACTAGGAGTTGGTAAAACTTGGTCTCTGAGAAGCTACCATTTCCTCTGGGTTTTGCCTGTTGTTATTGAGTAGGTATTCATCACTCAAGTTCTCTCCCCACTTCCCAACTTCCAGGCCTAGAGGACGTGGTCCAGATTTATCCGTGAAGGGCCTATTCAACACTGGGACTTCTAAGTCTAGAATGCATTTCAACTGGTGTCGTCATAGAATACCATCCCCTGTTCTCACATGTTTTCTTAATTATTATCAATTCAATTTTAACTCAGGTCTTCACAACGGGGTTCTAACAAATGTATGCTTGCTTTTCCCAGGTCTTCCCAGCTCATTTCAGATGCTACAGAACCCTGAGTTAAATTATTTTGTCTTCTTGCAAAAGTCTCTCTTTTAAGATAATACAACATTATTTCTGGGATTTTTTTTTTTTTTAAACACTCACAACAGTGTTCTTTTACATTCCTCAACTCAATCTTGCTCTTGATTACCAAATTTAGAAGACAGGAAAACTTTTTTTTGCAGGTCACAGATTACTCTCTTCAGCACTCAAGGGCAATCATTAACTATAGAAGCCCACATAGTACTCCTGTAGATGGTAGAAATCTCTTATTTTACTGCTACTAAATTCTTAATGGGGATCTCAGATAGCTGGGAAATAGGACTTGTGGTGCAACCTTTGCTGAGGCCAGGCACAGTCATCCTGACTCAGGGAATTAAAACTCCCCTCAGGCGGTGTTCTGCCGTGGAAATGGAGGGGTGCCAAACGGTAAGTCTCGGTGCCTGATATTCTTGGAGGATAACTTTAAAAATATATACAAGTGCAAAAAGTTAAGGTCTTATTTCTAGCCTCCTTGATTTACAACACTAAGGTCTTGGACAAAAAAAAAAAAAAATACGGTAGGTGTTTTATGGAGGTACCCCAACCTCCAGACACAGCATCACATATCACGGTGTCTGCTTCGAGAATGATAGAGAAACTGAAAATTGCTTACTGCCTGTGTCTGGGTTTCTGAACTCTAGGCTTCTGGCCAAATGAAGCTGAGAAGTTGCTGGTAAAGTAATACAAACTCTCCTTTGGCCTGGAGAGATTTCTGGCTTTGCTTAGGAATCTAGATTTAAATCTGATAATTGGTGTTGATGTGCTCCAGAGGCTAAGCCTTAATGTGGTCACCAGTTCTGGATGATAAAGGGCAATATGGAAGAACTGGGGTATCAGGATGTGCAGGTGAGGGTAGGAGGATGAGTGTACGTTGCCAAAGACTTAGGAGGGTGAATGAGGAAGGCTATGCGAGTGGCTGAGAAGATGGAGGTGTGAGAACGTGAGACTGAAAACCCAAAGGGTTAAGGAGACTACTCCTCGGAGTCCTAGAACAAATTAATTAATCATCTCATGCAGCTATTTCTGCTAAATGAGGGTGACACCAATGGATTAGCTGAAGAATAACTGCTGAAGAGAACCGTAAAACTCTACATCGCTAAAAATGGCTGCTATTAACTCAAATTCTACGCGTGTCTAGGTTCCTGTCTCTCGGCCAATAGCACTTTCCATTCTCAATTGTGAAGTAATGGTGAATAATCCAGTGGCTGCAATGGAAGTCATGCAGATAAACACAACAAGTTGGCCAGCCCACAATTTATTGATTTTTAAATAAACTAGCTCACTTCCCAAGCTACAAATTCAGTTCTAAACTGGTAGTAAAATAAAGCAAAAATCATCACTCTGAACTTGTGTCCCTCCTAGGTTTTTGTTACTGGACAAAGAGTAATTGCCAGTGACCCATCACTGCTTTCTACCCTCATCAATCCAATTAATAGTTCTCCTCCTCCCCGCTCTGCTCAGATTTAAGCCATTATTCTGTACCAAGCACATTATCTGCAGCTGCCTTGGAAGCAAACACCAGTTTTTGACAACAGCAACAAGCACCTTCATTATTATTCAAGTCTCAACCTTAGGAAGATGATCAATGCTCTTTTACCTCGGGGAAGAAAGTTCTCAGAGCAAAATGTTTGTAGTCAAGGAAGGGAACAGTTCCAAAACTATCAACCACATCCAATTTATCCATCTGCAGCTCAGCAAAGCCTGCGAAACAGAATCCCAAGAGCAATATTTTAACTCAACCAACAACGGATAAGATCTTCTGCTGTTTTGTCTAACACAGAGTATGACCTTGCTTTTCATTAAAGAAGAAACAATAGATAATTACTTGGTTGGCTGCGAAGAAACTGAAATAAAATACAAAGCCAGGCCTAGACCCTGCTGTTCAGTTGTCTTCTATCATACAAATGGTTCTCATTAACGTGGCTGGTTCCATTTAAGGGTAAAAAAAAAAAAAGACAATAAAAAAGGCTTGTTTTCTAGAAATACAATTTTGGAGCCTACCATCACGTATCTCTTTCCGGAGCTCGCTCTCAAGGAGCTCCAATTGTTGGCTCTGCTTGCGACTCAGCTCCTTCGATTTGTGCCTGGTCACCCCCACCGCCACTGCAGAGACAGAGATCCAGCAAGAGATTGACGGGTTAGAACACAAAAGGGAAGAAACAGACCAGCTTTTACAGTTCTTGTAACAGAGGGAGAGCAAGGAAGACTAGCATGGAAGAGGCAGAATTTCTAAGAAGAAAAATTCCCTGTGAGGGGTCCCTCTAGAGAGGAAGATGCTCACGTGTAACAGAAAAATTAAAAAAAAAAATTACTCATCTTCAAAGTAAAAAGTAAATCAAATAACCTTCACTTGTAACCAAAGATTCCAGCTGGCTGAAAAGGAATGAAACAAGCCAAGTCTCCCTACAGCCACAGGCCACTTATATTGTTCTGTTCTGTTTTAATGTTTCTAAACATCCCCGGAGAAATAAAGTTGAACCCTAAATGCAGAAAAAATCCCACAGATCCACAGTGAGCTACGTGAGTCAAACTTGCATAGATCAAATGGAGTGACAGCATGAGTGGTCCACAGAGAACCCCCCATCTGGATATTGCTTCTTTCTCCACTTCATTCTGCTTCTAACCTACACTGTAGACGCAGCATATTGAACAAGTTTGGCACTCGGTTCATGCCCCCGCTCTGCTATTAACTAGCTGTGTGACCTCAGGTAAGTTCCTTAGCATCTCTGTGCCTGGCTGCCTTATGTTAAAGTGCCTGCCTCCTTAAGATATTGACAGGATTCCAAGAAGTAAAAGTGCCTGCCTCCTTAAGATATTGACAGGATTCCAAGAAGTAACTCACAGAAAGCATTTGGAGCTTCTTTTTAAAAAAGAATAGGTAACAACTGTCCTTACTATTGTCAACTGTCCTTACTATTCTAGAAATCTTTTCTTCTCGTAATAGAAATTTCATGATAAAAGGATCCTGTTACCAGTAGATGTGAATGGTGCTGGAGGAAATAAAATTCAGTACAGTAAGTCACCTACATACCATCATGTTCCATTCTGATAGTGGATTTGTAAGCCCACTTTGTTCATAAGTCCAACAAAGTTAGCCTAGGTACCCAAATAACACAGTACTGTACTGTAACAGGTTTATAATACTTCCAACAAAAATAGCATGTACACAAAGAAACAAAATGTAAAAAAAACACATTTTTAATCTTATAGTATAGTACCCTGAAAAGTGGAGCAGTACAGTACAAGCGTTATTCAGGGGCTGACATGCATATTCACATCTTTGAAAGTTCACGAACTTGAAGGTTCGTATGTAGGGATTTACTATACAGCTCTGCGCTGGACTACTTCATAGTCAATAGTCTTCACCATAACATGCATCATGCATCTTCAAGAAACGGTGGAGCAGGCAGTGATTCCCACATTGACTTGACTGTGGAACCATTTTCCCAGGAGCATCGCTTGGGACCGTTGGTCCGCAGACCACCCTACAGGCAGCCCCAGCTCACTGCCTGAAAAGGGAGCTAAAGGCCACATCCCTCCAGTCATGACTTTTTCCTGGCTGAAATCTCCAGGGGGTGTTTCATAGGTGGCAGCCCTAGGCCAGGTGTGTTAGTGGTTTCACTAATGATATGGTTGATGGGCTGAAGGGTACACTTACTGAAGCTGCTAATGACACGTGGTAAGAAGAGGAGAAGAATTTTAAAGGGCTTTTCAGGTACCCATGAAATCTAAGAGCCACATGTCAAATGGAGCCCTCCTCACCTTAAAGAGCATCAACAGTCTCTACCAACAAACTGAAGGGAGAGGAAAGAGTCACAGAGAGCCCAGGAAGAGAACAGACCTTCCTAGGGAGTCACAAAGCTTACTGACTCCATGATGAGACTGTTCTATTGAGAGCTGCCTGACAGCAGTGGATTTCTCAAATTTGAGCTCAGCATTTAGAATTTACAAGTAATCTTCTTATTCAAAGCCAGCACCGGTCAAGACCTGATTAAAATATCAGGCCCAATTCTGGATTCTAGAAGCGTACTAGTGGTGGCCAACTTGGGAGAGCTTAACAAATACCTGACATGATCATCAACAAACAGTACAAAACAAGGTCTCTACAGAATGAACCCATTCCATTAGACTAGTTAACAATGCATATAAATCTTTTCCCCACTGGACCGGGAATTCCCCAAGAGAAAGGACCAGGACTGAACTCACTGTCCCAAGGTCCAGAGTCTTGCACAGTTATCAGTAACATAACAGGTGCTCAATAAACATCATGTAAACACATGCATGAATGGATGGATGAGTGAGTGAGACAGTGAGTATAGGGGAGGAAACAGTGAACAACTACTAACAGAAAACCATCAGAAAGGCGATGCCTGTACTAAGACAAGAAATTGAAAGGGCTCCATAGCTCTTGAGAAGAGTTCTCTCTCTTTTTTTATTTTTATTTCTTTAAGGAGGACAAGAGGAAACAGACTTAAAGTGAAAAGCAGCTCAGAAACACAGGTCAAAAAATGAATGGCTACAGAAACCAGGTCCTCAGATGAGTTAAATGGCCTGTGTGGAGCAGTAAGGGAGTGGTGGAAAAGTGGAAGTGTTAGTGGCTCAGTCATGCCTGACTCTTTGCGACTCCATGGACTGTAGCCCACTAGGCTCCCCTGTCCCTGGGGATTCTCCAGGCAAGAATACTGGAGTGGGTCGCCATCCCCTTCTCCAGGGGATCTTCCTGACCCAGGGATTGAACCTGGGTCTCCTGCATTGCAGGTGGATTTTTTTCACCATCTGAGCCACCAGGTAAGGGAGTGGTTGAGTTTGTGGCAAAAGTGTGGTGAACACAGCCCTCCCTCCAGACAGAGCCGCGCCCCAGCTCTAGCAGACCCATGTTATGGAAACATCAGGATCCAACGATCCAGGTCTTTACAATTTTCAAGTGATTTTAAAGAACGTGAAGCATCTCATTTTAAAATGTTGTCAGTGACTTCAACATTTTAAAAATGCTACTTGAGCCAAACAAGACACCTTGGTGGGCTGGATGTCATCCAGCGAGCAACCACCATGGGATCACTGTGCCTCGATGAGCCTCGGAACATTTTAATAGATGTTATAGATCACCCTTCCAAAATACAGTTCTGTCAGAAAGGAAGGGCTGGGGTCAGGGGTGTGGCTGTTACTGGGGTGAGGAGTCAGGATGAGATGACCGAGTCCTGGGAGCCCCATATCCCAGAGGAATTTCAAGGAAATAATGTAAATGGGATATCTGTCATCATAATTTACAAGTTTAGTGAAGCAAAGTAGATTATATTTCTCAAACACCAAGGTATCATTTTTGTAATTCAGCCTTTTATTAATGAAGCATCCCCCCAAAATATTTCGGAAGCCCACAGTGTGAAACTATTAGTCCTTTCCTGAAGTTCTGATTTGAGTTTTCATCCACTGATACTCAACTGAAGCAAACTGCCCCTGAAAGCAGAAAAGTCTTCCTGCCTGCCGAGAGGCCCCAGGGAATAATTTCTCTGACAAAATTAAACAGGGCACTTACCAAAAATGACAAACACTAGCAAGATGGGAAGCCCAATCAGAAAATACCAGGTGGAAAGAACTGATTCCCGTTCGACAGAGAGCTTCAGGTTTCCCAGCTTGACCTAATAGCACAAAGAGTGTCATTAGACCCAGTAGAGGTGAGGAACACATTTTTCCCCCAACATGGTTTTCTCGAAGATACAAAAGGTGGCAAGCTAGGTAGGATAGCTGGGTAGGTTAGCTATGTGCATGCATGCTAAGTCGCTTCAGTCGTGTACAACTCTGTGCGACTCTATGAACAGCAACCTGCCCAGCTCCTCTGTTCACGGGATTCTCCAGGCAAGAATACTGGAGTGAGTTGCCATGCCCTCCTCCAGGGGACGTGCCCAACCCAGGGATCGAACCCGTGTCTCTTATGTCTCCTGCATTGGCAGGCAAGTTCTTTACCACTAGTGCCACCTGGGACCACCAGGGAAGTCCCCAAAAGTCATCTTTAGAGGCAGCCCTTTGCTGCTCACCTGCAGAGACCTTGCAACACTGTCCCCTACCTTCCGCTTCACTTTTCTTTACAACAGTTACCACCATCTAACACACTTCCAATTTATTTTTTATACTGCATGCCTCATTAGGTAAGCTCCATAAAGGTGGACTTTTTTGGGGGGGGGGTTCTGTTTTCTTCTCTGCTACATCCCTATGTCCCAGTGCAGGCATTCAGGAATGAGTCATGAACAATGAAGAATGCTAGCGTTTGCTCTTTTTTAACTAACTTGACACATGGGAGCACTTGTGGGTTTAGCTCTTGTTATTCATTTTATAATTATTATGACCCTCTTCACCATACAACTGATGGACCAAGGGAAGCTCAGTTAAAGCCAACTTATCTATGGTCACACAGCTATTAACTGGTGCCTCTGGGATACGAACACATTTTTTGTTTCGCCTTCCAGTCTCATGTTCTCTTTTCTTGTCCTTTATCCGTTTATTTATGACTCTAGATGATAAAGCATTTTGGGAGGGACAGAAACCGTGCAGAGCCTCATATGGCATGAACACTAAAAATGGACGTTTCCAATATGTTTCCCTCCCCCATGGTCTCATGTCTTTATTGTGGGACATAAATATACCGGTGATGGGACCCTCAAACACGTCCGGGAAAAGATTAAATGCAGTGAGTGTGACTGCACAGAGGAGGAAGCAGCCCATGACCCATAGACTACCTGGTCTCCACCAGCCTCTACGGTCACTTTCAGTGTGCTGAGGAGACCCCATCCTGGGTTTCTGTTAAGACATGTCACCTCTGCATTCAGGCAAAGAATGACAGCTCATTTGTCAATGGGGTCTAGAGATTCTGCTTGCAGATGCTACAGTCTAGAACAAAAGACTGTTCTATGGCTAGAACAAAAGCTATCAAGACATTATTATTATAAACAATGGTGTGCTCAATGCTTTGCCATTCCAAGAGGCATATGGATGGATTCTGCAAGCTATTTTGGGGAAATAATGCTTGGGCCTGAGATACCAGCTTTGTTTATCTTCACTTAAAGTGAAGACCCAAAGATCCTAAAAGATTCTATCCTGGCTTCTGGTTTAGCCAAGGAATTGAGAGAGTTAATTCTTAGACAGGTTGATAAGGAGTCCAGGGCCCCCAAGGAGAAGAGGGGTCTGGAACCCTCAAGGAGGAGAAAAGGACAAACTTTTTTTTTTCTACATTCCTTCATCTTAGACATATAAGACTTTTTTTCCCCCTTAAGCTCTGAGTTGTTATGGCAACAATCTATTTCTTAAAGAAAGTTATTCTTTTTTTAAGCCCAGAGCTAATGATTACACAACAAAGCAACTTATCTTGCTCAAGAGTATGTTTTTCCTTAAGTTCTGTACTAATGATTATGTAACAACAATGTATCTTACTAGAGGACATGGTTCTCCTTCTTAACAAATCCTGCTATGTTAAGATGTATGTTGTGGGAAAAAAAAGATG